CCACTGTCAGACCCTATGCTGGTGCTACGCTGGTGGTTTTGAGTTCCTCCTGATGCACGAGAATGCCTGGACTCATGTGGCAAGAGAATGCGGGTAGTACCTGGAGGAGAGAGGGATTGATACAATTGAATTGGCCCTCACGATCGCCTGACTTAAACCCAACAGAACACCTATGGAACATTATGTTTGGGTCCATCAGATGCTGCCAGGTTGCTCCTCAGACTCTACAGGAGCTCCGTGATCCCCTTACACAGACCTGGGAGGACACCCCACAAGACACCATCCGTCGTCTCATTAGGAGCGAGCCAAACATGTCAAACATGCATACAAGCATGCATAAGTTGCAGAAATTAATTTTTGGCAAAATTGACTAACCTGCCACATCATTATTTCACTTTGATTTTTCAGGGTGTCTATAAAATTAAGCCCTCTGTAGGCTGAAAATTAAAAGGGGTGGCATTGCCCTGCCCGTATTTGTATAGATATCTTACATATATATTTGATATACATCTGATGTGTTTTCAAAGTGGTCCTTATTTTTTGGGCATTATGTATATTATAAATATATGTATGATATATAGCCTATATACTATTATAGTGAACAGGCTGTAATACATGCATAATAACAAATGCAACAACCTGATTCACAGTTCACAACCAGTCCCAACAACCACCCCCAATGAAAACAAGCATCTTGCTTTCTCCAGATCGACTGCCGCAGACTGTATTCTTTATGCGCTGTCCTGTTGGCTCTATTTCCAAAACTGTATTATTGTCCAATATGAAGAGATGGAACTGGTCCATCCCGGTCCCGGCACCAATTGGTCCTAAAACTAGTCTTAATCCTACATCTGACTTAAATCTGAAAATTACACCAGTCCATATTATGACTAGGACACCGGTTAGACCTAAGCCCTATGCACGTGCAGAGGCTGATAGAGCAGCAAGCGTCAAACAGTGAGTCTGTGTATCTATGTCCACTGTTCTAATGTGTAAGGCTGTATTGTCTCTACCTCACACTCTCCCATGTGGAGGTTTAGGCGAAAGTAACTGGCTGCCACTAGCCAGTGTGTGAATGAAAATAAGAGCCATAGGATATACATCGCAGCCAGATGCACTCATTCCAGCTTAATGTTTCTTGCTTGGCAGAAGGGTCCCGCTGAAGAGAAGACACATAATTCTCCCTAAAAACAAATTCCTCTGACGCACTATGACTTGAAGTTGAACTAGCCATAACTCGTATAGCCCATAGCACTGTTGTTATTCTTTCATTTGCCTATACTAGAAAAATGGCACCAGTGGAGAGTTGGGGCTAGGTGGAAGATAGCTAGCAGGCTGAATCACAATAGGCTGGGTGTGATAAAAGTTTATGAAGACCAGTCATTTGGTTTGATTGCGCCCCGAGTTACGGCCCAAAAACGTACGTCAGAGCTGTAATCTAAAGCAATTGCGGGAGGCAGCAAATTTGATGTCAGATTTTCTCAAAACTTCAGGCTCTCCCATAAAACTGTACCCAGCGCATTCATAGGTCAAACAAAATGATATGACCACATTTATCTAGGACAGGTCAGGGAGAACAGCTCTCTTGGACCCTCTATTGACCAGCCGAACATGTTGAGATAGCCACCTTTTCACTTTTGCTCTTGGACATTTGATGGCTATCTATCTATCTATGTGCTTTTGGGTTAAACTTAAAACGTTTCCAAAAAAAAAAATACAATTTATTAATGAAGTCAAAGTGCCACCTTGCCTACTCATAGTTTTACAAATTTCCACTAGGTGTCACTGCTGTTTTTCACCCACAGTCATTGGTCCATTCACAGCAGTGGGTCTCCTGTTTCCTGTCCGCTCCAAGCCCCTCTCTCTCCCTGCTCTCTGGTGTATCTCGCCTGAAGCCTCTGCTCATCTCGGCACTGTAGAGTCACGCAGACAAGGTCAAGCACACCGGGCGTTTAAAAATGAATTAATATCCCTCTTTCGATTCTCTCGTTCCCTCCATTGGCGCGGCTATCCTCAGAGCTTACACCGAATCCCCATTTTCACCTATCACTGGGAACAAGATTACGAATGTGGTAATATCTGGGGTATAGGAGAAGTGCACTAACTCAGCACTATAACTGCTGATGGTTAAAGTGCAGACCAGTGCTTTGACTGTGAAGCCAAACCATAAATGTACACCGGTTTTATTCGATAATGAAGTCTTCTTTACGTCGGCTCTTTAAATTCAGAAGTAAAATACCATTTTATCTCTCAAAGTAATCTACTCCTGACAAATTACACTTTTATTTGCACGGTGTAAAAGCATTAATGGGCCTTGTAAAACACTTCGGCCGTGCAGGCTGAGAGGATAGAGTTGTATGTGCAGAGGAAAAGAGGAGAGTTTCATTTATTCACTTGAAAAGTAAGGATTTCTAGCTGATGCAATCTGACTGACTCATTTGAGGTACAATATTAATATTAAATAAATTATATGATTGAACAGGAATTACTGTATTTTTCAGACTATAAGTCGCTCCAGAGTATAAGTCGCACCAGCCAAAAAATGCGCAATGAAGAAGAAAAAAACATATACAAGTCCCACCGGACTATAAGTCGCACTTTTTGGGGAAATGTATTTTACAAAATCAGAGACCAGGAGCTGACATTTCATCTTGAAATGCAAGTTCTAGTAATAACAATAGAATAGAGAACAACAGGCTGAATAGGCCTTAATATGTTAACGTAACATGTTAACAGTTATTCAGATAATTATAGCATAAACAACAGAACATAAGTTTACCAAACTCACGGTCTCACTTCAAATCACTAAATCCATTGAATTCTTCATCCTCGGTGTCACTTCTGCGCATTTCTCACTCGCTCCAAACTTTCTTTCTGCTACTCGATTACCGTTTTCGGCTGCACATTTCACTATTTGGAGCAAAACAGCGGCTTTTTATACAGGAGGCATGCAGTAGAGTGCAAAGTGACAGTGGTACAGGAGTAATAGTAGTACTAAATATTGACACACAAGCCTAGAGTGCCCTCTTGCGGCTGTCAGTCTGAAAATTTGTATATATAAGTCCCACCGGAGTATAAGTCACAGGACCACCCAAACCATGGAAAAAAGAGCGACGTGAAGTAAAAAAAATACGATAACTAATTTACTAATTTACTAAACTAATTTAGGTACAGTATTTTCAGTTAGTATTTTTGTTGGAGCTATTAAATGTATACCACGCTATTCAACAATAAAATATACACTATGTAGGTTTCCTGGTGGAAGATGTAGGTGATCTGCTTGTCTCCATTAGATGTTGTTGCTTTGCCTGTGATGTTACTCAGTAAGGCTTTTTATGTCAGTGAGGTCAAGCAGTTGTCTCTACCAGCCCAAGTTACAGGTGATATCTGTGGCGAGGCAAGCATTACGCCAGTCTCGATAACTATATCGACTTATTGTTCAATAGATGATAGATGGAACAATATCTTTTAGAGCTCAGTTAGTGCTGAGATTTTTCTTACATTAGTTGTAATATAAGATTTGTCCTGTAGAGGGCTGAAAAAGTAACTTCTGTGGCTAATTACTTTTTCATTCTGCTATGTATTTGTTGCAGCTCATGCCTTTCAGTGATATATTTAAATAATGGTTTGCTAGAATTTGCCTGCTTTATTGTTATTGTGTCAGTGACATAAAGAAGAAATTTGTTATCATGATGGGCCTAGCAAACATGTTAATGTAAGAATGCATTTTTCCAAGGTGTTTTTTTAGCAGTTAAACCATGTATAATGAAGAAATGCAATATTGGATAGGGTGACCAAATGTCAGTTTTTCCCCGGACATTTTTCACATCCTGTTCTGGCTGTCTGGGTTTTATTTATAAAGTGATGCAAATGTCCGGGTTTTCATTATCTTTCATTGGGGCCATTAAATTGAGCAGCTCTCGTAGCTCTGTAACTCAGAAAGAGCGAGCAGACACAAACAGTTGGTCAGCCTGGAACATGCCGAAGCACAAATGCGCATTTAACGATGACTTGTTCAAGAAGTTCCCCGCTTTCCGTCCTGGTCGGGACAAGTGTGAGGCCATGTGCACAGTGTGCAAAACAGGCACATGTTTAGGTGTCCAATGGTGGTGCCAGGGACCTCAAAGCTCACCAGGACACCGAAAAACATTAAAAAGCTTTGTCAGGTGAGAGTAGCTCAATGTCGATGACGAGACCCCACCTCTCACCCCCCGTATGGTGCCCTGGTTTTGACAAACGTAAATATGGTCACACTAATACTGGATAAGCCATACTTTGGAACATAGGTCTAAACAATGACATCTCTATGGAGACAAGCTGACCCCCACCAGAAAAGTTACATGAAATTAAACTGAAGTTTTAGGCATTGATGATTTCAAAACTAAACTAAATAAAACAAACAAACCTGTGAGGAAACACAGTCAGTTGGTGTTATCTTAATGTTTAAAAAGTATTCACAGAAAATCCAACAATTTTGAGCAATTTTTCCAACATAACAAAACAATTTTGGCAAAAACAACATCGTCCTTGGTGAAGATGGTGTAATTTTACAAAATACAAAATTGATGTGTTTTTGTTTATCATCTAAATATTCATGAGATCCAAGGTTTTCTGTTTAGTACCTGCTTCCTCCCACTACCAAGGACATTTTTTAGAGCTGACACTGACTCACAATAAAAAACAGGATTTTCATACACGTTGTTTTAAGTTTGATTGACAGGTGAGATGTGCCTGATACATTAATTACGTTTTAGAAGATGCAGTGGTCTCTAGGGGGTGCGCTTATGTCCCAAAACATTTTCTACACCTAATTCCATCTCCTTTTCTTTTACTTTTCCAGATCGTCTTTTGATTAATGACTCTTTCTTTTAATAATCTTTACATAGCTTAGACTTTTTCTACTTTTACTTTGGCTACTAACTTTTGAAAGACCATCATTACATACTTGGAGTCCTCCTACATCGATCATTCTAATACAAATGTCCATATTTTTATTACAGCTGCTTATTCCTTTTGTGGAAGACGACGGGTCCAAGCTGGAGGACCGCTCCACGAGTCGAACCACGGCTGAAGAAAGAAGAGAGATCATGGAGGTCAACAAGGTACTGATGTGGAGTGGTTTAGCTTAACTGTGTGAAGGCTGTGCTAGTGTAAGGGAGCACTTAAAGAGCACTATGTTATGCATTCTTGTGGCTTTAATTCCCTTTTAAACATGCTTTTGGGTGCCTTAGGAGAAGTAGTTCACATTTTATAACTTAAAATCATGTCTGCATTTTGAAAACACATAATAAAGTATCTGTATGCATTTAGGCTCTGCTGTCAGCAATGGGAATGAACAACAGGAAATAAACAAAATACCTCATTAGGCTCTGTGAATGCTAAGGTAATAGAATCATGCATTTGTTGTGAACACAATTTGACCTCAGAAAGACTCCAGTGATGCTTTACAGACTTAAAAACTGCATAGGAGATTGTCAGATTTTTACCTGTGATGACACAATCCGGAATGCAAACAGTATTTTTGAATGCTCAGAGAACCATTTTGGATTAAAGGGTAAATTAAAGGACATTCAGTTTTGGATATCTTGGCTTTGAAAAGACTTGTGTGATTTGTTACTGGCTCTGACAATGTGCTGGATGTCTCTCCTCTCACTTCATTCCCATTTTTTGCTGCCTACTATCCTGTCTTAACAAACTCTAAAGGGGTTAAAATATTGTACATGACATATTATGTATTGATATGTATTATCTTAATGTACTATATCACAAAGATCAGTTCAATCTAACTGCATCTGGTAGGGCATCCAGTGTAAAAAATCTGTACAGATCTATTGGTGTATCAACCTCTGAGCACAACTGAGATGTGACTGCGTTAGATGGAAATGCTCACTCTATTTGTACCAGTTAATGTGAATAGCTTTCAACTTGTCCATATCTCTGAATGTCTCTGAGGCTGAATAGTTAATTAACTCTCTAATGAAGTTTTGCTCCAATATCTTTAAAATTATTTATCAGAAAGTGGCATTTTATCCTTTGAAATGAATAGATGTTTATTGTAAAGTTTACGGCTTTGCTTTTTTTTCATAAAACAAAGCACCAAACCCATTAGAGTGGCCTTCTCAGCTGCAAAATGGGACATAATGATCATTTGGATTTAAATTCATTATCCTCCAGCGTTTGTGCCATTAACCTGCAGCTTTAATTGTTGACTTTCAATTATTTTGAGAGCGTCTCTGGAGGTTGTAAAAATGTGTTTGGCGCTAAACAAAATGACGCGGTTACACTAGATAAATTTTATTGCTGATAGAGTTTTTCTTTACAGGCGCTGGCGTTCTAGTGAGATATGCTTCCCATAAGAAACCGACCGGGAACATGCCAAAACCAATAAAAAAGTTTGTACTCATGTGTTAAGATATCCTTGCACACTTCGTTCAATCAGATTCAAATATTCATAGGCCTGTCATGATAATTACTGTATTGACTATATTACTATATCGTTAAATAAGTGACTTTTATGAGTAATTATTGGTTCATTCTGTTATTTATTTGCTAAATAACCTTTTAATGACAGACTCTATTTCAAAATGGTTTACAAAGATGATCTTGCATTATTTTTATTGTGTCAGCAACATAAATTTGCTTCAATATTATCATTTATTGCAGTATAACTCTAAAGCAATATACCATGCTTTAGAATTTACTATCATGATAGGCCTAAATATTCATCATGACGTTGTGTAATTTGTAGAACTGATCTTATTAGTGGATTTTTTTTGGTACCTTTTTATTGAATAGCACACATAATCTAGTAACATGTAGGTTTGTCAAAAATGCATACCCAGATAACTGATCACGTAAATAGGACAGAATTTGAATAGAATTTTTGAATAATTTTTGAATGGTCTGTGTATCAGAGCTAGTATAAGACCATATTGTAATACTGAAGAAACTGAAAGAAACTGTATTGACAAAATAGAAATCACACATCATATATCACGCTATATCAAAAAGGTGGTGTCCCTCTGAGGCATCTGTAGTTTGAATTTCCACTTTGATTTTGCATCTAATTTGAAACATAACAATGGCCATACTCTTTATTCTTTTTTTTATGGAAATTCTGAACCAACAGTTGCTACAGCTTTGACAGTGAATGGGGTGAATGGCTGACAGCTCTATAGGAGACAGAGGAGCACAGACGTGCTGATGTCTTGATGTTTTCTTGTGAGGTGTTGAAACCGCGTCACTCTTGTAAAAGCCTCAGTTTGATGTATTTCTGTCAGGGATGAGATCGCTCGCTCACTTGGAGATGCTCCCTGACACTTAAAAGGGACGAATATGAGGCGCTTTTCAAAGTAATGTACCTTTCAGTCAATCAAGTGTTGCAGCCTGTTGGAGATACCTCAGAATTTCAGACTATTTCTTGCAGATAAAATAGCAATGTTTTTTTGCACTTCAGAAGCTTCAAAATAATCAGTTTGTTTAGGTTTTAAGTTTTTATGTTAAAGCAGACTTATTATGCAAATTCTGTTATACTTGTTTCCCCTCACCATTTACACTCTAAAACTCCAAGTTGTATTTGGAGTGATTTGTGCATTTTTTTTTTTTTCTCTTTTTTTCAATCAGCCTCTGTTTTCACTGCCCCTGGGACATGCCCACTCCTCTGTATTTACTCGATTCTCCAGTGTCATTTTCTTAATCAGTAATGTGATTATTTTTGTATAAGTGGAAGAAAAACTCTGCTGACAACTTCACGGCTCTTTGTTGTGATGACGTTCACAGCAATGTCAACTCCTACTGGACACCGCAGTTTTCTAACGCGGAAGTCAGCTGACTTGTTTCTTTTACTCAATTATTTTAAATGAATACTGCAATTTAAAATGTGCAAATTATAACATAATGACCCATGGGTGTTACAGATTATAACTGTATAGCAAGCACAAGCACAATATGTCTTCTTTAAAGGTGCACTTTATTCAGTTGCAGGCACTTTTATTGCTCTAATGCACTTAAAAACAAATTACACTGAGTCTGGTTCCCTCTCCAGAGATCTAATATGTAACTTGGTTTGATGCTGTCACCTACTTGTCTCCATGGAGATAAATATGTATGTATCAGTTGTAGAATACAATATGTATTTTCTTACACTTGAATTTAACCAAAACAAAATGTGCTCCAGTTTTATTACATTAGTGAAAAGACTGGTGGTATAATTGCTTTTGTACAAATTGTGTTCTGTGTGTTGCCTCCTTCCTTTTGGCTCCTCTGCTCCTCTCAGCAGTGTTTTGTTTAGTAGCTCGTGCTTTGCACCTCCAACAAGACCATTGTTGAGATGAAACAATGAGCTCTTGTAGTAAATACATTGCCACTGTAGAGAAAAGTAAAGTCAATTCAAACATGTTAAGTTGCACTGCTTATGCTGCACTGTAGCCTCCACTGCTCCTGACATGTGGACTTCAGATACCTTGAAGGACATTATTTTGTTGTTTGTGTCTGAACAGTACCTTTTAGCAGTACACTGTCTGTACTGTACCTATACACATTATGATATTATAAAGTAGGCCTGGGTAATATACAATGTATATTTTATTGTTATTTAAAAAAAACATACATAACACTTAGGCTGCATTTCAGACTGCAGCCTGACGTGACCCAAGTCAGATTTTTTGGGCCCCTATGTAACCTGTATCTGATCATTTAATGACAGATCCGATTTTTTCAAATGCGACCCAGGCCACTTCGAAATGTGGTCAAAGCGCATGAATCTGACCTACATGTTCTCAACAAGACACAAACGTCACTATTCTGCGCTGAAGTAGGTGAAAATTGTTAATGAACTCTGTGTCACTGAAGCGAAGCACATCGCCACTCACCACTCTTGGCTTCGTCTCCACATCCACACGTTCCTTTCAACGGACGTCGCTGCCGCTGCCCCACAAAACGCCACGGCCAAAAACCTCGTCCTTCTCCTTCTCAATCTCCTCCTTAAAACAAGTAAGTTGTTCATGTTCTGGCTCCGGTACAAGAGAAACTTTAAAATCGCCAGGTGCTCAATGCTTGCATCCATGTTTGGACAACTTCCTTAAACACAGAGTACGCTCGCTGCGGTTGATGTCATTGTGTCCTCCAGTGCTCATGCGGGACACTTTTGAGCCGTTTACCGTTCACACTGGAGTCACATACAAGTCGCATTTAATTGGAAATGTGAACGATCTCACAAAAACATCAGATTTCCCCAAAAAATCGGAATTGAACATTAAGCCCTGCAGTCTGAACGTAGCCTTAAATGTGCATTGTGATACGTTTTCTTGTGAAGGGTCCTTCAAATGCTTTTCTCCATATAGTATAGAGGTATAGAGTAAACCTTTCTATCTTCATGGAGACCAAACCAAACCAAGTTACAGGTCAGAGCTTTGGAGAAGAGACTCCACTCACTCATCAGAATGCCTGTTTTTCTAGGTATTTTAGAGCAGTAAAACTACCTGGAATTGAATAAATATGCGTTGTTAAAATACTTTTACATACTGGAAATTTCCAAGCAGAGCAATGACATATGACCATAGAAATAAGCAAGTGACGGACCCCAACCAAAATGTTGCATAGTGCAACTTTAAGATTCATAGACAAGACTGTGTAACACCCCTTCACACAAAGAACAAATAATTTTAAATGTTCCAAATCACACATCAATATTTCCTCTGGACCCAAAGGCCTGGTGGTGCTCAGATTAAATTAAATATAAACTAAAGTTAGAAATGTCTAGTTTCTCTAATCAAATGTAATCCAGCTAGCCCATTAGTTTTTATTCACTGCTATCAACAACATGGCAAAGCAGAGCTAATCTCTCATCTGTCTCACCACGAAGTTTCCTATGTGTGTGTGCTCTCTGGTGTGCAAAGCAGTAGCTACAAACAAAGACTTAAAAACCATGACAACAACTGTTCTAATGAAGTAAGAGAAAAACACCGCTCATAAAAACATGAATAATACTAGACATAACCTTATTACAATTTATGACAATTTACTGACCATGTGTAACACTAGACTCCACAGAGGCTGACGCAGGTGAATTTTAAAAGGGGCATTACACTGTGGCCGATAGACA